ATTTTGAATGGATGTTAGCCATGCCAAAGTACCTGTCTTTGATAAATGGTTTAGGGGAAAAAGGCAGTTTTCTAACAAAATTGTAGCAACTTATGTGTAAGTTATCTTTTAAAATTTCGTTCCAAGTAAGAACTTAATTCTGAAAAGAGTTTGGATGGAGGTGAAAACAGAGACTCTGGATAATGTGATATAGCGTCTGTGGCAACACGGCTAGTTCTCTAGAGTGAGAAATGCAACCTTAATTGAAAAGCCTTTTACGGAAGCAGTTGTGGACCCAAGTGATTCCAAAAAACATTTTAAACTTTTACTTGATTCAGAAGATAATTAAGTACATGCAAGGCATCTATAAGAACATACTGGAGGGAAAGCCTGTTTACTTCTATTGGATTACTGTAAGTTATTTACTCGTTCTTACATGCTTATGCTTTGATTAATTTTGATGAACACTTCACAAGCATCCATATCCATTAGTGATAATGATCCCAGATTATATTTAAATGAGAAAGATATTTCGTTTTTATTTAAATTAGCTGAAAAGTCTGAAGATATATTTTCTGTTGGCCATGAAAAACTTGAAAAAATATATTGAGATATAGATTACTATTGTAATCATAATCTAAGAATTGATTCCATATGAACTAGTAGAGAAATAAAAAAGGTAGAAAATATTATAACTAAATATAAAGATATACAAGAAGAAGTTTCAGAAGGAATAGTTATAGGATACATAACTGAAAAAGATCATCCTAGAATCTTTGAAAAATTATCAAAATACAGAGAATATTTAGAGAAATTAGGAAGAATTGTAAAATATAGTCCTGAAAGACCTAATAATTAAAAGATATAGGGTACATTTTGCAAATAATAAAAGTAAGGGTAAAATAGTATTTTCTATTATAAAGGCCATTGTGGAAAATAGAACTAATTTTTCAGCCATTCTGAAGACTACCCCTGAATTGGTTGAGGTTGATTAATTATAATATAATTGATTTATGAATAATTAAAGTTTGTATCTGAATTTTGAAAAGTAATCTTTAAATGCAGACTATTGTGTGATTTACTCATGCCAGGCCCAATTTCAGTGGACTATACAGCATTTAGCCTCATAGTCTTCAATTTCTATCATAAAATTGGTGCTAGTGAAAATTATGTTAAATAAAATATATCTTGATTTTCTTGAAAAATAAAACTTACGTTTGTCCTCTATTGTTCCGTGACTTGTCAATTTGTAGTACATTGATAGTTTTCTTGTCGATGGCGATGGCATTAATTTCACTCGCGTACAAGGAAGCTGGAAAATTGTTTAAGGGTTACAAATAATTTTAATGAGAAATAAATAGAAAAAAAATAAAAAGAAGAAAGAAAAATGAAAAACAAATAAGTCAACTGGGATGAGAATGATATTAATTTTCTTTTCTCTTATTGATTTTAGATTTAATCAAAAATAAATGTAAAACTGGCTATTTAAGAGAAATATTTCATTTTATATTATATAAACTTAAAATATTAAGTAATTTGTGAAAAGAAAGTTCACATGCGAGTAAGAAAGTGTAAGATGAATCCGTGAACAAATATTGATTATTTAATTGGTAGGTAACAAGGAAGAAAACAAAAACCTCTGCATATTTTTGTATTGGTGATTCGATCTTAGCCACTCTATATATCACGGGTCTAAACAAGGACCTACTTCATACTATAATTATTTCAATTTTAAGAGTAACGACAATCTCCTGTCCGAATTTTCACATACCCCCGTGACATGCCATTTCATGTCTCTTAGCTAGTGGAGTTTTAGATATTCGTTATAATGCTCAGTTCCGTCATTATATCATTGTCTAAAATAATTGAAGTAATTTTATCTCTAGCAACGAAATTAGTATTGAATAGTACAATTGACAAGATGCAAATCGTTAACGCCATAACGTAACTCTCCTTGTGGGGTTGCAATCATACGAGATAGGGGCACCGATAAGGACAATCGCTTTTGAGGTGCCGTTCAATCAAGATTCAAGCAACAACAATTGAAATACGGCACAGGGTTAAGTGGACGTGATTGATCAGGATTAATAAAGCGTGTCCAAATTTGTATAGCTAACTTAGCTTAATTTGAATTAATGAGCAAATGAATTAGAGTAAAGCATATTATTCCAGTAATATTGCGATAAAGCATACACAAACTAATTACCAGCTCGACTCGACGAATTCATAGTAGCATGAAAAAGATGATTTTGTTTTTATTTTAACTTTAAAACGTTAGTTCCCGTCTTAAAGGTAGAGCCGTGCGGCCCTGTTCAAACAGCAACAAGTGCAAGAATCGAGCTTTTCTCTTCTTGTGTAGATTCATTTTAGGGCCCACCGCCTTCGACTGGATTGTGGGACAGCTTCCAACTCCAACTACGACTCACTTCTTCGACCTGGAAACCCTTCGGACCAAAACAATCAACCAGAGAACCCGATAGAGCACGAAGAATCCAATCAAAATATAGATGTTAATCCATCTTTGCGTTTCATGGAGTCCCCTTTTTTCCAACACATCACCTCCAGTCACCATGCACGTTCTATTCTTCTCATCGAACCATATCAAACACCTTGTCAACAGGCAAGAATACTCATTGATCAAGAACGCATCAAGAGCGTATTTGTACATGGAAAGGTAGTGCATGAACAGCCAGAATTTGGGTAAGCTTTCTTTTGAAATGAAGTAGCCCGAGAAGAGGAAGAATCCGGCGAGAAGCGCCGTTACTAATGAAGTTCCGGCGATGTAATTCGGGGCAATGGAGCTCAAGAAAAGAACAAATGAGTTAGCCATTAAGATTATGACCCAGATTACCAAAACAAAGTATGTAAATGCTTGAATTGTTGGGCAAAGTCCCACCAAGAAATAGACTGAAACTGAGTAAACAATTGCGATTGCGAGCAAGTAGGGTAAGAATACCATTGTATTTGCTATAAGATATGATGATAATCTGTAAACCCCACTTGAAGTTTCTCTCAATAGAATTGGTCTTTCATTGATGAAAATTGGCAAGGTTTCAGTTGTGGAGGAGAGAAGAAACGTCAGAGTGAAAGCAAAGAGGCCAAATCTCTTCTCAATTCCCGATTTATCGAATCCAATATTGATGTAAATTGTGCCTAAAACAAGGCCAACTCCCAGTGCCTGTAAGGTGTTTGTGAAAAGCAGTTGCCTCGTTCTGTAGATGATTTTCCAGAATCTGTTGGATAGATAGAGTATTTCATGGAGTCTTGAGCTTCTATACCTGATTGTGTCTTTCCTCCTGGTTTCAGAGGTGGGATTTTCAGGTAATGGAGGTAGGGATTGTGGGATAATAGTGGGCTCAGTTCGCTGAAGCTGATTTAGTATTTCCATGGCATATTCTAGTGCATTGAGCTGTAGAGGAACTGTGAAGCCACTGGAGAGTAAGAATTCTTGAAGGGAAGATAGTGTACCATGATGCACCACTGTCCCTTTTGCCAGCAAGAGAATTTGATCAATGGTGGAGAGAATTTTGAAACTCGGTTGATGAATGGACAAAACTACAGTCCGATGGCGCGAATCAGTGATTGATCGGAGCGTTTGCATCACGTTCAAAGCCGAACCACTATCAAGACCAGAAGTTGGCTCATCAAGAAGTAGCACTGCCGGATCGTGCAGGAGACTGAGCCCAATTGAAACTCGACGTCTTTCGCCACCCGATAGCCCATGAGCAAGTCGAGTCTCTGCTAAGTGTGTAAGCCCGAGTTCATCAAGAAGAGATGCAACAATGGTGGAAATATCAGAACTTTTCGGGTTGAGTAAACAAGCAGAAAAGGCGAAAGTTTCTGCAACAGTGAGTAAAGGCAGGCAGTAATCATATTGAGGGACGTAAGCCGATAGCTTACGGAATGAAGAAGAGTTCAGAGGGGAAGAATTGAGGAGCAGAGTGCCATGTGTGGGCGAGGTTCGGGCGGCTAAAATGTCGAGGAGGGTGGATTTTCCAGCACCACTCGGGCCAACAATGGCTAGGATTTGTGATGGATATGCAGTGAGGGAGATGTCTTTCAAGATGTAGTCTGGTGGTGTTGAAATGCATGGTTTAAAGACACAGGTAGGTAGAGTTGTGGAGGCGGATTTTGTATAGGAGATAGAAGAAGCTGTGACTTGATAGGTTTTGTAGGGCGGAGGAGGAAGAGGAGGGGAAGGTAGTGGTGGTTCTTCCATGATGGAGGTGGTGAGGAGGTTGAATGGATCAAATAATGAAGTTGGTGAGAATGAGTGAGGCAAATGTGGAGGGATTTGTTGTTAGTCTCCATGACCTGTGAAAGTATGTTAATGGTGACCGAGTTGTGTGAAATATTTCAAAAGTTTTGTACTGCCCAAAAATAGTTCCATACCAGTTCTTTCTTTGTCGTGTATGTATGGTGAACCGGACCGAACTAGATAAAATCAAGAACGAGACGGAGCCGAACTAGATAAAATCAAGAAGGAGACGGAGTTATATTCTTGATAATTATATTATACAAATTTGCGGAGGGAACTATGCCTTTTGTGTTCAGAATATAATGTGACATGTACATACGAAAAATTATTGAAGTAAAATGTTATGTTTGAAATATCATCGAGGCTTCTTACTTTAAAAAATCCTTAACCTTTCTATTTTGAAATATACTCGTAATAATTTTTGTTAGACATTGTATTAAAATGAATTTGTCAAGCATGGGATGTTCAATTTATTATGGAAAAAATCTTTTAATTTGATCCCTCCTAGTTTATTATACTCGGTATGTGAACATTTTTCGGTGTGAATTCATCATTGTGATTGTGGGGAATTCTTTTCTCTTCCTTTTTTAGGCTTCTATATGATCGTGTGAACATTATTTGGTCGATTTTTATTTTTCGGATAATTATTTTGGTGAAGGACACACGTGAACTGTGAAAGGATTTGGCATTATTAGATTTTTATTATTGAAACGAAGTTATCAACATTCTCCTTTGGATCACACTGTCTGATATGGCTAAAAATGATGTAAAGAAATTTATGTAAAGATGAAAATAGTTGGAATTTTTTTGAAAGGATTGATCTCTTTGAAATTCCTTTTGCTGTAAGGTTTATCATTCTTGATATTTACTATATGATGAACATAACTTTGATGACAAAAAAAAAAAAAAA